GCCAGGGCTGTCATCTCTTTATCTCTCTCTCTCTCTCTCTCTCTCTCTCTCTCTCTCTCCAAATCACAGTATGAATTCTCCACAAAAACAACCCTAGGCTTCCTTGCCTGGTGGCCTACAGAGTAAATAAGAAATCACCAGCCAAGGACATGTTAGACGGGGCTTTGCTTCTGGGAAACATCAAGCCCTGACTAACCATATTCAATAGTGTGGGTTCAGATGAGTCCAAAGAAACAGGATTGGCAGTGAAAGGCTGCTCACTCCTCTGAGAGACCTGCCCAGGCCTAGAGCGTGTGAAGAACCATAGGAGCCCACAGCAACCTCCTGCCAAGCCTCAACCTTGTTTGGGTTGCTGTGGGTTTCAATCCCCTCCTGAGTTTTGCTTGGAGACCAAAGACTCCAATGGAGCTCAAAACTCCTTGCCAAACTCAGCACCAAGCAACCACTTCCCACTTTGCTGTTTATCCGCCTGACTTCCTGCCTTCCCAGGAGGCAGACTTACAAACTAACTTGGGTTTGCCCCAAAGACGCCTCAGCCTCAGCTGATCTTGTTGAAAGAGTACCACATGTATCTAAGCTTTCTGAGTTGATTGGGAAAAAATCCCCTCCTCCCTTTTTACCATCTCCTCTCTCTCCCTGCTCCATCCTGCCTAAGACTCTGAAGAAAGCAGGGTGGCAACCTGCAAAGATGCATGCTTGCCACTCTGTGATTTAAAATGGCTGGGTTTGTAACTCTTAGCATTTTCCTGGAAATCATTCACATTACAGGGAGTGACTTCCAAACAGAAATGATAACACGTTGTACCAAACTGAGAACTGGTGAGTGTGGCTGCCAAGCCCTGAGGTCGGGCCGCTGTGTTGAAACGCTTCTGCCTGGGCTACAGTTCTTCACACATTCCATATAGGCCTTACAGAGTGTTTAGCCAACTGCTGCAAGCTCCCGTACCTAACACTGTCTCCATGCTGCCAGGCACACAAAGCCTATCACTTCTTTTCCATATTCTGAAAAAGCTGCTGGGGTCTTGCCCTTTCTGAGCATAAATCTATCACATGCTGACTTCACCCAGATGCTGGATCTTGGATAAGAAGACTGGGCCTGAGGAAATACAAAATTAATCAGGTTTTGGCACAGGGAATCCATGCAGAGAGGAGCAAATGGCCAGGATGATGATGACAAGAAAGAAACAGAGAGGTTAACTCAATTGTCCCCTTCCTGCTCCTAGCCTCAGGAAGACACCTCCAGGAGCCAGGCCTTGGCCATCTGCACCAACAGCATCTGCAGCAGTCATGTGTGCCCTGATGGTTTACTAACAAATGAGCATTTGCAAACTGCTTTGCAGGTCTCTGGCTGCTATGGCTTCACATTTCCATCACGGAAACAGAAAGCCAATGTAAGGCAGTGGCCAGGAAATCAGAAGAATGCTTAGATTGCTTCTCCTAGAACAGTGCAAAAAGAGTTTCAACACTGAATCCAAGGATGTCATAAGCACAGCGCTTGTGATCAGTACCTTGAGACCAGCACTTGGAGTAAGCCCAAATGAACAGATGGCTTGGCTCTCCTGAATGCTTAATAGTGGCTTGCTCCTATCCATGGTCCTTTGTTACTGCCCAGCGTCCTATAACCCCATCTCTGCCCTGCGGATTTTCCGAAAGAACTTCCGATGGAGTGTTTGTTATATGAGGTTCATGCTCTGCTCCTACTGTAAAAGACAACTTGGAACATCTCTTGATTTAATCCTAATAATATATGACTATCAAAATATCTGTCCTGCAAAGACAACCATCTCTGTTTCCTCTCTTCTCAGCCCTGGCCATTTGCTCTGCTTTGGATTCTACATAGTTCCTTCTAGGCTTTGTTTCAACAGCCCTTCTACTACGTAGAGTTTCCTTTCCATTAGGCTAGCAGTGGTTAGTTAAGTGAGTAGTCCTTCAGGCCGCCAGAGACAAAGATACTCCATTCCCTGAGTGTGATGTTCCCTGTGTGGCATCTTAAGTGAGGTCTTGTCAGTTCTCCTTCGGTGGTTTGTGGATTGTGGATAATCTTAATTAAATGTATTACTGTTTGATTTTAACAGAATTAGTAGTTGTTGCTCATTAGTTGTTGTGAGGGGGTCTACATAATGTACTCAGTTTGGTAAGTGGATTCCCCTCATAGTAGATGAGTTCTCTCCTCTCAGGTCCTTTTTTCAAAAAATTATTTTCTTTCTTTCTTTCTTTCTTTCTTCCCTTCTTTCTTTCTTATTTTATGTGCATTGGTGTTTTGCCATGGGTGTCAGATCCCCTGGAACTGGATTACAGACAGTTGTGAGCTGCTGGGAACCGAACTCCTGCGCCCTGGAAGAGCAGTCAGTACTCTTAACCACTAAGCCATATCTCCAGCCCCCTTCCTTTCAGATTCTTAAAGATGTAAAAGAACAATACAGTCTTCCGGATACACAACTCTCCCACCTTCCAGTTTCATTCCAAACAAAAAACAAGACTTGGCAAGAAGCTTGAACCCTAACATCTCCCCACACCTCATCAGTAAAATCCTAAGCCTAGAGTATAAATAAGTGACCAACCTGTCACTTTGTGGTGGCTTGTTACATCTTTCAGTCTGTCTCCAGAGTGAGACGGCGGGGGGGGGGGGGGGGACAAGCAAGGGA